CCTGCCTGGGCTGTAGCATGGTGCCAGTTTACAGGAGCGTCTTTCTCTGCACGCCCCTTCTACCCGGGCGGGGTTTGATTCAGCGCATTTATTGAGCGCCTTCCAGTGCCAGACCCTGGATACAAAGACAACACTTGCATGTATCAAGTGAAATTGTTACTGTGTGCCAGGCACAGACTTGTTATCTGGTAATACTCATAGCCACCCAACAAGGAAGGTTTTTAGATGAGAAAACTAAAGCTCAGAAAGGTTAAATAGCGTGCCATGGTCACTGACCCAAGCTAGTAAGTGGCAGAGCTGAGATTTAAACCCAGTTTGAATCTTCTAGTGCCTGTGCTTTTAAAGAACACCCTTGACTGCCTCTCAGGAGGAATAACATATAGTCTTAGAGTCTAAGACAGATGAGGAATCAAGCTCGGAGAGACTAACTGGCCAAAAGAATACACAGCCAGGAAGCTATGGAGTCTCCAGGGGGAACCCAGATATGTCTGATCTGAGGCCTGTGGTCTGTACTGAGCTGCCTCCCATCCTTCCCTAGGAAGAATTTCCAACTCTAATTAGGATTCTATCAAGAGAACTTTCTCCATCCAGAGCTCCGGTTGCTATAGAGAGCCGTAAGTCACTGGTCCTTGATTTGCATCTGTTGGTCATCAGAGGGGCCCATAGTCATAACCCGTCTGTGAGTAATATACTAGTGACAATGTAGTTGCTGCCATTAATTGATGCCATTGCATCAACATATGCAGGATGCTGTAAGGTGCACTGTGTTGTATTTTTAACCCTCACATTAGTCCTGCTTGGGAAACATTATTGTCCCCATTGTCCAGACGAGAAAACTGAGAGTAAAACAACTTACATAATAGTCCCAAGTCAAATGCGAATAAGGACGGAATTAAATCCAATCTGATAGACTCAGAAGCCCTCACTCAGTCTCTGACTCACTCATGTGTCCGTGGGTTTCCCTTGGCTCTCTCTGCTTCTTCTTCTTTTCTGTATTGTTCAGTGCTCTCTCCAGAGGGTGAGTCTGGCTTCTCCACCTTACATTGCCTGTTTTAGAGGAGAGGGCTTATAGCTTCCATTTATCTCATACTGCCCCTACCCGCCACCCACTGCTTAACACAGGGTAGCCAAAGAGTGGACTGCCACGTGATGCCTGGGGATTGGTGGGCAATCACTGGCGATGGCCCCCACTGATACTACCTCAGAAAGGACCCATCTCCCAATCGTGTAACAAGTGCTCTTTGTACACCTGTCATGTGCTCACTGCTCCAGTGGGGAGAAGAAAAGTATAAAGTACAGGCCTAGCTCTCAACAGCTTAGATCATGAGACTGTAGGTACCAAAGTAAATGGAAGACTACAAGGGTTAGAGGAGTTCAGAGGAGAGAGGAAGCATAAGATAATTACAATAGTAGCAAGCATTTATTGAGCACTATGGGGTAGGTCTTATGCCTGTTTTATAGGCGTGGATCCTGAGACTCAGACGTGGATCCACTCAGACCCAGTGGGTGATCAGCCCAGGGTTGCACAGCAAGTAGGTCTCAGAATTAGGACTCTGAATCACTCCATGGCCTCTCTGGGAGAGCACTGTGGACTCTGTGCGTAGTGACTTGGAAGCTCCAGTAAAGGGAGTCTGGAAGGATGGGCCAGGTATGGACAAGAAAGGAGATGCCAAAATGTAGGACGAAAGGCTGAGAAGTGGAGCTGTGATATTCTTAAGATGTGGGAAAGCCTTTAGAATGTGGGGAAACCCAGGCTTTGATCACAAAGTAAGAGCACAGGATCATTAAGGTTTGTCTGTGCTTTTTTGTGTCCATACATTATCTCATTAAGCCTGTGATTATGCTAGAAGGTAGAGGGGGTTATCCTCTTAGCATGGAGGGAACGGAGGTCTTCTAACTTTAAATCTCAAGTCCTTTCCACCATCCATGCTGCCTCCCCATTTCTCTAGTGGGAGAACACAGGCCCTCCACTCAGACAGACCTGGGTTTGAACCCCACCTCCTCCGTTTTGTGTCTCTAGGATCTTAAGGTTTGCAAGCTGGGGCAATTTCAGTTAAAGAGCAGGCCCTGGAAGGCAGGCGTATGCTAAGGAGTGAACGACATAAGTGAGGTGTCATAACACCAAGGTTCCTATAGTACTTTTTTTCAATGCACTTTCAAGTCTTTGGTTTACATATGAAGAAAGTGGGGTGCCCCCAGAAGTGAAGTGACTTGCCCAAGATCACACAGTGAGTTAATAAATGGCAGCGCTGGGATTAGAACTCGAGTCTCTTGTCTCCTAAGAGAGCTTGCTTTTTCCTTACACAATGCTGCTCCCCTGAGGGGCTGCGGGAGGAAGGCCTAGGGATAGGATCATAGCACTTTGGAGCTGGAGAGGGGGCCTTAGAGATCATTGAGTCTATCCTCCACACTTAACAGATGAGAAAAGTGAGGCCCAGGCTGCCTGAGTGACATGTCCGTAGCCAGATAGAGCCACTGCAGAGCAGGAGCAAACCCATGTGTCTTGACCCTAAGGTCCCAGGTCCTTCTCACACTACCATGCAAAACTTCCGAATTGCCTCTTTTCTCTGCAAGTCTAAAGCCTCACTCCAGGGGGCCGGCCCCTTGGCCTAGTGGTTAAGTTCGTGCACTCCGCTTCTGCAGCCCAGGGTTTCACCAGTTCGGATCCTGGGCGCGGACATGGCACTGCTCATCAGGCCATGCTGAGGTGGCATCCCACATGCCACAACTCGAAGGACCCCCTACTACAAAAAATACACAACTATATGCCGGCAGGCTTTGGGAGAAAAAAAAAATCTTAGATTTACTATTAAAAAATTTTTTTAAATAAAAAATAAAAATAAAGCCTCACTCCAAATGCCAGCAGTTTACAGTTAGAACAACTGTTGAGTTTGGGGAGTTTTTTTTGCAAATTAGAGTCTTGTTTTCTCTCTCTCAATTCTTAGTAAGGATAATGTACTAGAAAAGGAAAAAAAAAAACTTCAGTGGAAGACCTTGATAGAACAAAGATAAAAATTTGATAGAGTCTCTGAAATCTAGGGGGATCCTCAAAGCCAGGAAATAATTTCAGGCCAGCCCCCTTGCCTATCCCAGCCAATTCACCACTTGTCCCTCTCTACTCACAACAGGCCTTCAAAAGGCCCAGCCTTCCCTTGGCAGCTGCATCTGGTGAACACCAACGGAAATCCCTGGTATTTTTCTTTGCATGCAACCAACCATGGAGACGTAGGTCAGGCATTGCTGGCCTGGCAGTTAGAACAGCTCCGCTTTGCCCACTGCACCTGCAGCCATGTTGCTGAGCCCCATGGGGATGGGAAAAGGATGTTCCCCTCCAAACAGGGATTGAGTCCTCAAGGCCCCTTGTGGGCAGAGCTGGCTAGGACTTAGGGGGGGTGCTAGAAAAGACCATCTGGAATATGGGGACTAGGAGGGTGGCTCTGTTTCTTTCCCCCCTTAATGTCTGCTGTGACCAGTAGCAGGGTTGGCAGTGTCTGCTCAGCTCAGCTTAGAGTCATCATCACTGATGGACAAGACTGGGAAGGTCTCATGCTCCCCCTGGGCTCAGCTGGGCCCCAGGCCTGCACCTGAACCCCTATGCCTATCTAGTGTTTACAGGATTGAAGCTGCCACCCGTTGGGACCTAGCCTGTTTTCATTTCTCCTCTCAGCTGTCTGGTCTCCATGGACCTCACCTACAGGTTTGTGCGTGCCCGTCTGCCACGATGCAGCCCCACGAGGCTCCTCTAGCCTGGCACACTCCTCTTTGGCCTTTGTTCTCTTCAGCAGAGCTGCCAGTTCTTTACCTGGCCCAGGGGAGAGCTTTCCTGGCCTCTCAGAAAGGCTCAGTTGCTCCACCCTAGCTGCACCCTTCCCAAGATTCAGTCTCTTTGTCTGCACTCTGCGGGCCCGGGCTGTGGTTCCAAGGCACTGAGGGGGCCCGTATGTGGCCGCTCTGGACTGGCCTCCAGTTGGCTGGCTGATTCTGTCCTGAGCTTTCTCCTGCTCTGGGCCTCATGTGTCTCTTTTGTAAAGGTGTAGGACCAAGATTGGTACATGTACCATTGATCTTCAAGATAACTTATAAGTGATATGCAAATGAACTGTTTTAAAATTTTAATAGTGTTTTTATTTTATGTTGATTTTCATCTGTGGCAAATGATACTGGCTTTCTACTTATAGTAGTAATATAATAAGTTGCCTTTTGGTTTCATTGATTCATTTAGCAAATACTTACTGAGGGTCTAGCTACTGGGGATATCTGCCTTCATGGAGTTTACATTCCAGAAAGACAGAGAGTGATGGTGGGAGTGGAGGGTGGCTGCACAGCTTTTGGTATTTGTTTTTTAATAAAGAGTGATTGGGGAAGGCTTGTCTAAGGCATGTGAGCAGAGATATGCATGACCTGAGGGAGCAAACCATGAAACAATCTGTGGTAAGAACATTCCAGACAGAGGGAGCAAGTACAGAGGGCCCAAGGTAAGAAAGGTGTGCTTGGCGTGATTGAGGAAGAGCAGAGGAGATGAGTGTGGCTAGAGCAGAGTGAGCAAGTGGTGGAACGTGAAGGTTTGTGTGGGCCATGGTGAGACACTGCCTCTTCCTCGGGGTGAGGCGGGAAGGCAGTGGAGTGTTTTGACCAGACAGGATCTGACTGCTTCCAGAAGGACCCTCTGGCTGCTGTGTGGTGAGGGACCATAGTCGGGGGTAAGAAGCTGGAAGACCAGTGAGAAGGTTGTTAGGATACAGGCAGAAGATGGTGTTGGCTTGGAGAAATGATGGCAGTGGAGGTAGTGAGAAGCACTGGGATTCTGGATAAATTTTAAATATAGATTCAAAGGAGTTTGCTGACAGATCAGGGCTACAGAGGATTTAAAGCTGGTTCCAAGATGTTCAGGCTTCGGCACCTGGAAGGATGAAGCTACTACCATTTACTGCAAAGGGGAAGGATGCAGAAAGAACAGGTTTGGGGGAGGAAATTAAGAATTTTCAATACATTTAAGTGAGTCAATTGATAGACAGATTTTAATAGTAATGATGATACATGGATAAGGCCCAAACAGTGATAGCTGAGATTGTGGGTGGAGCGGACCAGGTGTGACTACTTCCTTCCGGCTCTAAAATTCCACGTCAGTGACTTCAGACCTCGCAGTCTCCCATTCATGAAGAAGGGGAACCTGAGACTCCGCCTAGAAAGTAACAGAGCCACAAGGAATGACAGGAGAGGAATCCCTTGGACCAGGCTCCCCTCTTGTTCATTTGGAAGGACTTGAGAAGTCCTTGCACACAGCCTGGCCTCCTGGCCTTGCCTCATTCATTCACTCGCTCTCGCTGAGTACCTTCTGCCAATAGGTCCCGGACTTCCTCCTCTTACTGCCATTCACCATTCAGGGGCTGGAGAGCAAATGACTTTGCTTCCACGGGAGCATAAATGGTTTTATCTCTTTCTTCATCCTGTAGGGTTCCCATAGTTATCAAGCTGGAAAAAAATCCTCAAAGGCCTCCTGCCCTGGCTTTTGTAGCTGAGAAACGGGAGGCCAGAGAGGCAAGCAACTCCTAAAGTTCACATCCAATCCACTAGCAAATCCTTTCAGCTCTACTTTTAAAAATAAATTCTGAATCTGACTGCTTCTCACCAGCTTCCCTGGCGCCCTCCTGGCTAAGCCACCGTCATGTTTCTCCTGGATGACTGCATCAGCTCTTCACTGGACTCTCTTGCTTCCACCTTTGCACCTGGAAGTCTCCATCCAGCAACCAGAGGGACCTTGTTAAAACCAAAGTCAAATCATGTCCCTCTCCTGCTCAGAACCCTGCAGTGTTCCATGTCACTCAAAGGACAAGCCCAAGTCCTTAAATGGCCTTCAAGGCCCTGCACATCTGGCCCTTGGCTATTGCCAGACCCCATCGCTACTATTCTTCACTCATTCACATGGCTTCAGCCACCCTGGTGTCCTTCCTGTTCCTGGAGCACCCCAAGTATGTTCCTGCCTTAGGGCCTTTGCACTTACTGTTCCCTCTGCCTTTCCTCAGAACTTCGTAATGCCTGTTTCCTCACTTCATTCAGGCCTCTGGTCAAATGTCACCTCCTCAAGAAATTTTCCCTGACCACGGGTTCTAATTTTGCCCTCTTTCATGTTTCTTCCTAGGCCTTTTCTCTCACTTATGTTTCTTTTTAGCACTTACCACCATCTGACACATATATTTATTGCCTATCTCTTCCCATTAAATTGTAAATTCATGCAGGTAGGAGTTTTCATCCGATTTAGTCACGGCTTTATCCCCAACGATTAACATAGTGCCTGGCATTTAGTGGGCACTTGATAAAGTTTTAAGGCATGAATGAATGTCCAGAGCTAAGCAGGGCTCTTGACTGGTCCTTCCTGCAACCCCACAGGTCAGCCCACCAGGGGTCACAGTCTGTCTTAGAACACTCAGCTAACAGCTCCACCGAAGCTACTTGTCATCACTTTTGTTTCCAAGATAATGACCAGATGGAAGGAGGGACTTTTTCTTCAAGGCCTTGTGAGGGCTGGGTTGGGGGTAGGGAGGAAGCACAGAGCAGCCGTCAGCACACCTCTTCTTTTCCCACCCCCAGGGTACCCCGGGAACCTGGAGGCATGGCTCTTCCCTGTCTTCAGTGATTTCTGATTTCCAGGGGCCAAGAGTAGCAGATCCTGAGTAAACAGTGGGTGGGTGGGTGGTGAGAGAGGAAGGAAGGGTTTGGTAACATCCCTCTGCATCTGTCCTATTGCACTGGCAGGTGCACGTGCTGTGGAGTCAGACGCCCTCGCTCAGTAACTGGTGAGCTCATGCAAAGCCTCATTGCTTCTCTGAGTCTTAGTTTCCTCCTTGGTAAAGTAAAGACAACACCTACTTGCAAGATTTTGAGACTGCAAGCAGGGGCTCAGTATACATTAGCTGTTATTTTTTTGTTTGTAGCTACAAATAATGAGATATACCGTGAGAAGCACAAATGGGGCCACTCATTTTTAGCTATAAAAAAATATCAGCTAACATTTCTTGAGCACTTTCCATGGATCATTTAATCCTTGCTGCCAAGCCTGAGATGGAAGTACAGTGTTCCCGCTTTATAGACAGGACTCCAGGCTTGGAGAAGTAAAGGGTCTTGCCCCAGGTCCCACAAGTAGGCAGCCATAGAGGTGGGGTCGGAACCCACACTATTGGACTCCAGGGTCAAGAGGCCTTGCTTGCAGGGGAATCCCTTCAACTCCGCTGGGTCTCAGTTTCCCATCTGTTCAGGGAGAGGGGTTGAACTAAATATCTCTGTGAACCACAGGTCATGACACATGGTTTCTGGGTGGTCCACATGCCATATCACATGGGACAGTGAGTTGCTTCTGGGCCTCCTTGTGGTGATGGTGGTGGTGGTCTTCTGCAGTTTATTGGCGTTCTGGGTGTTGAGTGTGAACAGCAGACCTCCAAGTGGCCCCTCCCTGGGCATCATCAGCTACAGACAGAGTACTCCCGCTCTCCTGGCACCATCTCAGGCATCTTGCTATTCTGCACCTTGAGGAGGCTGGTGGACTGGGGTAGAGATGAACCAGAAGACTAGAAGGAACCGGAATGTAGGAAATGCAACCCCGTGGGAGCCTTCAGCTGAGGTTTTGGTTACGAGGGTGTGTGTGAGAGCATTCATATGTACAGGGGGAGGGAAGGGTGTTGCAAGGATTTGCTCCGTCCCCAGATCCTCCAGAGCTGTTGGCTTCTGTGGAATTCCAAACATTTCCGATCAGATAAAGGTGGCTGAAAATACCCGGGACTTGTCTGGACTAGTTGGAGGCAGTGCTGGGGTGAGGAGGTTGAGGCCACAGGGGCAGAGCCCAGCAAGGTCTGGCCCCTCTGAGGAGCTTGCCCTGGGTCACAGATATACCCATTGCCCTTTTCTCCTGGAACCTGTAGGTTTGAGGGCAAGGCTCAGCAGTATTTGGGGTGGAGGAGGATCAGACCCTTTTGTGACACCAAGTCCTTCTACTCCGGAATGTCCCCTCTCACCTTCCACGCTAATTACTGGATCTTTTGGATACCCCTGAGAGAGAGAACCCAGGTTGTCACGCCTTTGTCCATATGTGAGTTAGTTTCATCGTCCTCATGCTGTGGCACTGGTGGGAGCCCTTCCGCTTCATTTTACGGGTGGAGAAAGTCCCAGACTTTCCCAGCATCCCAGACAGGGGATTGAATTCACCCCAAGGAAGCCAATGATAGAGCTGGGACTCAAAACCCACATCTGCTGACTGTCAGCCAGTGTTCTTTTCTTCACAGCATGCAGCATTGATCAGCACCAAACAAGGGAATGGGGGCATCTTTGGGCAGAAAGGAGGAAGGAGTGGCTGCTTTGGACCATGGAGTACCTGGAGGCATAGACCCCAGAAGGAAACAGAGTTTTAGGGAGAGGTTTAGCCCCAGAGACCAAGCCCCTCTTCCTTGTAGGTTGCTACCCCCATCCCTCCTGCCTCTTGCCTCAACACAGTGCAGACGATGCCTTTTCCAAAACCTTCCCATAAGCTTTCTGTCCTCCCTCCTGAGCCTGGGAGAACTTAGTGTCTGGAGAGTCCTGAGCACCCTGGCCAATCTCCTGGTGCCTTGGGGCCTCCTCCAGGTCTTGCCAGGCAGTGAGGAGGGGGATGAAGAGAGAGAGAATTGACCTTTCTTCCCTTCCCTTCTCACTGTCCATCAGTCAGCATACTCACCAGAACCTTCTCTGGGCCCAGCACTGGGCTAGGCCTAGGGGATAGAGCTCATGGTCAAAAATGAACAGCTCAACAAACTGACAAGAGAGCTGAAGGAGACTTGGAGGCAGAGAGCAGGAGGCCTCCTTGAAGAAGTGGCCTGTAGACGTAAGAGATAAGTAAGAGAGAGTTCAGCAGAGGGACCAGCATGGGCAAAGGTCCTGAGGCTGAACAGAGCATGGCATGTGAGGAATGAAGCAGCCTGGCCCTAGACAAAGCTGAGGAAGGCCTGCAGGGTCTTGCAGACCAAGGAGAAGGCTCTAGGACTTGGTCTAATGATCAGAGCAATAATAGTAACTGCTGCGCATCATGCACAGTTCTAAGAGTTTTACATGTGTTGCTATTGAATCCTCACAGTGTTCTTGCGAAGTAAGTACGTTTTTAATCCCCATTTTGTAGATGAGGTCCAAAGCTAAACATCTCAGTCTCATTGCAAGACTTATTGGGTACCTGCCTACTCTTTGTTCTGGCAGCCCAGCTTGGTGGAGAAGTAGAAGTTGATTTGTCACTAGCCTTGGCCTCTTCCAGAAAGCACTGCCATTTTACAAATGAGGAAACTGACGCTCGGAGAGGAGCAGGGCCTGGTCCAGGGCCCAGAGCGAGGCCAGCAAAAATTCCTCTGCCAGCTCATGTTCCCTTCTCGGGTAGCCCTTGGCACAGAGATGGAGGAGAGCAGCAGAGGAGAGAGGACCAGAGCTAAGGTCAGCCAGTGGAGGGAGGTAGAGGGAAAGAGGCGAAAGTTTTCCAATAGAACTATCCAAAAATGAAAGGCTCCATCTGGGAGGGAGGGAGCCCCTTATCACAAATGTGTAAGCAATGAATGCCCTAGAGATGCCTGTGAACTCCACAGGTACGGACCATGTGGAGTGAACCAGACCCACTATATGACCTGGGCACTCCTCCCTTCTCAGCCCCATCTGGGAAATGAGGATGTTAGGGGTGAGCTTGAGCATCACATGAAGGTTGGGTGGGTATGTTGTAAGGTCAATTTTGAGTCTCTGAGTCTGTTTCAAGGGTCCTTCTCACGCTGAACACTGGGAGAAGAATGAAAGGCTGTGGCCATCTACTTGTGAGAGAATAGGGAGTCAGCAGGGTTGAGATGAGAGATGGTTGAGATGAGGGGAGGCCTCGGGATTCCAGGGAATGAATGCATATGAGCCTGGAGCAGCTGCCCAGGAGCCATTAAGTGCTTGAGCTCTGGAGCCAGACTGCCTGGATTCAAATCCCAGCTGTGCCATTTAAGAACTGTATGACCTTGGGAAGGTCGCTTGACCTCTCTGTGCCTGTTTCCTCATCTGCAACATGGAGAGTAATAATAGCACTTACTTTATTGGGTTATTGTGAGGATTAAGTGGATTCATATACACGTCGAAGCTCTTAGCCTCATACCTGGTACATTGTAAGTGCTCAGTAAATATCAGCCATCACTCCCAGGGAACGAGGTCGTGAGCCCCTAAATGAGCATCTGTGCCCCCACTAAATGCATTTCTGAATTTTCTCTCTCTGCCTCCAAGACTAGTTCCCTGGTTCTGAGCCGAGGAGGTGGAGAGCCCACGCTCACACTGCTGGGCCCGATAGCTTTCTCGAGTCCCCAGCGGAGGTATTATCTCCTCCCAGCACAACCACTTCCTTTTCTGAGAAATGAGCACATCTGTCAGGCTTAGCTTCTTAGAACTAATGGTGGGGGAGGAGGCGGGGGAGGAGAGGCTGGCAGCTGACGGGCAGAGTTAGAGAAAGATTAACATGAAGTTTGCTGTGAGGATGCCTCCAAATATTCCTAAAGCCCAGATGGCTTGGGCCTCCCATAACACCCTCTTCAGCCAGTAACACCAAGGTCACCTAGCTTTACCAAGTGCATTCATCCCCTGTCTCACCACCACTGCCTGGTGAGGTCAAAGCAGGAGAAACTGAGGCTCAGAAGGAGAGAGGCTTGCTATGGTGCCCACAGCTGGGCTGGCTAGACTGAAGTGTTGGCCCCCGCACAGGCTGGC